AAAAAAAAAAAAAGAAATACTATTACTCTTAAGTCCTCTGTGTATTTACATCTAGGGAATCTTTCTACTTCATTTGATTCCCTATTCCATTAATTTTCCATCTCACCCTTCCAGCCTCCTTTGTGCATAGTTCCAGGAATTTTTGATGAGGACAAAGCTTGAGTAAGCCTCTGGATTCTTCAGATACTGGCTCTGGTCTGCCATCAATAGCTTCTGCACAAATTTTAAAAGACATGACAAATGTGATATATGGTATCCTGGTTCTATTTATTTTTTAATTATAGGTATACACAATATCTATTTTTAAAAAATTTTTATGTGGTGCTGAGACTTGAACCCAGTGCCTCACACATTTGAGGCAAGTGTTCTACCTCTGAACCACAACCCCAGCCCCTGTATCCTGATTCTATTGGTGCATCCCAGAACCCAAGTCACCCCAGTAATTGTCAGAGTGTACTAATTCTCTTGGAATATAAAAGAAAACTTTGTGGGAAAACTGTTAGCTGGTAAAAACTAGTTGTGTCCAACATCTTGTTAATTTAGGTAAATTGTGGTCAGGCAAGAGTGTTGCTCCTTTGTGGGAAAAGTTAACTGATTAAGAGAGGTACTCCAGATGCAGCAATATATGCATGTGACTCTGGTGAAGACTAGGAAACAATAGGTCTAATAAGACTCTATTGATCTTCCTTGGTTCTGAAAACTTCATTAAGAGTCTCCTTTGAATTTAATCTCAGATTTATAAGGATTATATAGCTGGTCCCTAAGAACAGCTAGAATGTGCTTTGTTTTGGATGGATAACTCTCCCAAGTCTCTCTCATTATATGTAGTTATCAACATTGGATTCTCATTTCTCCTTGATTTCTTTATAAGGCTATTTTTAAAAGCTGAGTGCTTGGCTCTACTGAACAATGGAGGACATGTTGTCCAGTTGTTTATTCTTTCTTTTCAAGTTATGGAGCAGCCAAGATGCCAGGGCATCAGTGGGGTGGGTGGTGGTGACCAGCTATCCTTGCTGAAGATCTAGAACTCAGAATATAGGTCCATTGACTGGGGGCAAAGTGTGTGAAGGTCATCAAAAGTCTCATCAAGGAGGCTCAGGCTGGAGAATATCGTTACTCATTTCCTCCCTGAGTAGTCTTTGATGCTTTCTTGGGGAAACAGTCATTCTATCCCTAAATGTGCCTGAAAAGAAAGAAAAAGGTGTGGACAGATGTTGCGGGTTTTGGTTTGTTTGGTTGATTGAACTCAGAGAAGAGTAAGGCAGTGATTAGAAGTAATGGCATGTTTTACACAGAGACACAAGAAACAGAGTCCCTGTGGATCTCTGATTTGGCATCATTGGATAGAAAGGTCTGTTTGTACAACACAATACAGCTTGGCAGTCCTCAGGATGGGATTTGGAAGCAAGCTTTACTCCTGATTCTAC